TCTTTCTCTCTTTCTCTCTTTCTCTCTTTCTCTCTTTTTTTTTTAACCATGTATTCTTGCTTTTTCCTCTAGAAACATTCTGCATCTTCCCTCTGTTCTATTTGGCTTGCTGGCAGCAAAGCCAGAGATAATAAAATTCTTGGCTAGTGAGAATACTTTTCATTTTTAAGTCAGCTGTAAAAGAAATTTCAACTACCTAGAATCTTAAGAATGACAACTGTTATAACTAACATCACAGATCATGGTCCACATGCATATCTTGATATCATCTATTTTGATGTGTTTTATCTAGTCATTATTAATGTCAGAAAGAGATGAAAAGATAAAGATTACTGGTTTTCCTGAACAGAATTAAATCATTCTTGCTGAATAAAGAACTGTAGCACAGAGAAGAATTATGACATGGAATAATTTCTTGGTGATAATACTGCAGAAAAAGATCTGGGGATTATGGGTGACTACAGGCTAAACGAGTAAATATGAGTATGTTTTGTTGTTTTTTTTTTAAAAAAAAGGCTAATCACTGCCGGTTGTGCCACACTTCTGTTAATACAACATATGCAAGCTAATTAATCCATGATACTCAGTGCTGTTGATATCTCAACTCAAGTAATCTGCCCAGCTTATGATACCAAAGTTTCAGACAGAAGGTTTAGAGCACAGCAAGAAGTGATGAAGAGAACAGTATTATACATAAACCATCTACCAATGCCAAAGCAGGCATTGGTATTTTGATCAGTGTTTTCTACAGTGTTTTTTTCTAAAAGTTCAAAAGCTTCAAAATGAGGAGTCCAAGAATTTCAAAGAGTTACCACATCAGAAAAAACAAAACACCACTAAAGTTATTTCTCTTGTGTAGGTTCCACTGAATTTATTTCTCTTGTGTAGGTTAAGTTGTTGATCTAATACAAAGAGTTTTGTGTGCAAAAATTTGTCTGATTTGAATGCCCTTTCTTTAAATGGAAGGATTATTGCTCTCATCCTCAAAACTTTTTTTATATGTGTACATCATGATTTCAAATAAGTAGCCATTAGTTTATTTTATATAAAATATATGCATTACTATAAAGATCACATTCTCTCTTCTACTCACCTGGTAGATTTTAGCATCTCTCATTAGTTTTTCTACAGGATATTCAGTATTAAATCCATTTCCTCCAAAAATCTGTACTGCATCTGTATCTGCTTGGTTTGCAACATCACCCGTGAATGCCTTTGCAATGAAAGCATAGTAGGTATTCCTGCGACCAGCATCAACTTCCCACGCAGCTCTTTGGTAAGCCATCCTAGCCAGTTCCACTTTCATTGCCATTTCAGCAAGCATGAAAGACACTGCTTGGTGCTACAAATGATGAAATAAACTAGGTTAACATTGCCTGCTTAAAATTTTGTGACATCCAAGAAGAATATAGTCGTCTTAATTTCTTAATTTGTGAATGCAACACACTCAGGAAATTGTACTTGAGGAGTTCTACAGAATTTGGATCAGGCTTTCATAACTGTATGTTGAATTAGACTTTAAGTTTTTAACTCTGAAATCTACTTAGTCACGGGGATTAAGTATTGAATTATGAAGCTGTGCTTTACTTTTTATGAGATCTGTATTTAGTTTGACGTTTATTGATGTTTCTTTAAGCATGGTAAGCAGTGTGATTGGCAATGTATTCTATTAGTATTAATACTGAGAGTCTTGTTTCACGTACCTCAGGGAGGTTTTCTCCTTCCCTGAAAATCCCTGTTCATTAGAATTGAAGGACTTAAGTATGTCCTGACAGTACATGAGTTTCAGGGTTTTGGGCGGAGTTTTCTTTGTGATTTTACTATTACCATCAATAAGTTATTGATGAATCCCAGGAGTTACTGCATAGCTAGATTTACTTAGATAGTGCTGACCTATATACTTGAAGACCCAAGCAATGGTAGAGATATAATAAATCACGTCCTAAATATCAAGGAACAACATTGAAAATTAACTAGTAGTGCATCTGGTATGAAAACATAGCTTTTTGATATATTGATTTTTATATATTTAACTTACTTCAGCGATTGGTTTCCCAAAGGTTTTTCTCTCCAAAGCATATTTAGTAGCTTCATCGAGTGCTCTTTTTGCTAACCCAACAGCACCAGCTGCTACCTGAATTAAATATAGCACAGAATGAAAATCAGAAATTCCTATTATATGTTTTAAGTAACTTATTTCTGATACTTACGGGTGGTCTGGTCTTATCAAAAGCTCCCATTGCGATTTTAAAGCCAGCTCCCTCAGCTATTAATACATTTTCTTTGGGACCTCTCACATCTTCAAAGACAATACCTCTTGTATCAGAGCAGCGCTGACCCATATTCATTTCCTGAAAAGGGAAATTTAGAGAGGTGCAACTAAATTGGATTCTTCCAAGGTACAACACATTTTCATTCTTCAGTTTACTCAAAGCATAAACAAAGCTTCCCCCCCCAAACACTTCAGTTTTATCTAAAAATCACCATATACACAACAAAAACTAGTTTTGCATTTACAGACCAGCATGCCCTTAATTTGTCAAAGCTGGGCAGTTTACTTTCTCTGTATGTGAAATTAATTCTGTAGCTGTAATCACTCGTTTGTCTGTTTCTAGTTCAATTACATCCTTCAAGATGGGAGAGGAAAAGGTAAAGATCCTAAAATGCAAGCAGAAGTAAAATACAGCTGTACTACAAACAAATAAATGAATGAGATTTTCAAGTTTTCCGATTCCTTTCCTAATGTTCAATTTTGCCTGCTACTAAAAATAGTACTTTCTTTGTTTCCCCCCCAAAAAAAGAGAGCTAGCACCAATGTCTCCGAGGCCTATTCCTTGAGCAGGAGTAGCTAAAATTAAAGCACACCGTGTGTTTATGGTTAAAGTTGTCCACCTTGCTTCTTACACTTTCAAGGCATGCTACTTCACCTTAATTGGCACTTGTCAATTAAATGGTTCTCAGAGATTCTTTTGCAGCTGTGCAAAGTCTTTAGACTATTCCAAATAATTCCTTATCTGAATTAATAAAATTATAATTATTAAGTATGTCTTATGAATAGTTGCTGTATGCTGTGAAAACAAAAGGATTGTACATGAGCACATGAAAATGTTCAGTTGCTTAACAGTCTTTTTTCTTTAATGGCAATTTGTTGCAGTATTGGTTTAGAAGCGAATAATAATTCCTGGCTTGTCAAATAAGAGATACGGTGTTCACCTTTCTTCCAATTTGGATTCCAGGGCTATTTGCTTCCACAATGAATCCAGTAAAGGCTTTGCTTGCAGGAGCTTTTGGATCTGGATTGGTACGAGCAAGCAAAAAATACCTAGTGTAAAACAAAGACGAGGGGAGTCAGTTTATCCTCACAATTAATAACCAGATACTTTTTTAGCTAACATGTTGAATGTTTTTATGTGTGTTTGTACCATATAATAGATCTATCAATAAGTTAACAACCCTTTTTTCTTGTCCCTTCCAAAAATAAACTGAGAGGGAGTGAGGGAGAGGAGTGTCAGTGCATCTCTTACCGCAAAAGTCAAGATTTAATAAAATTACTTCAGATCAACATGCAAAGGTTCTCCACCTTTTCCATGTATTGTGAGTCTTAATATTACAATCAGCTTCATGAATAGTACAAAAGAAACCTATTCACAGCACATTAAAATTATTGCTTAGGAAATACAGTATTCCATGCAAAATGTTATGTTATCCTCTTGATTTCAAATATCTTCATTTTATTCTTCAAAGCGTAAGTTGTAGGTAAGTTTTTTGTTAGAAATTAAACAGTTGTAAATCACATTTATGGTGTTCAGTAACAACAAAAGATAGCCAGTAGATTCTCTTTGACAGTTCTGCCTTGAACAAGGAAATAAATAATGAGAAAATTCAACTTTATACATAAATGTATAAAGTTTTTCCTCTTGAATTAAAAAGAATTTATGTGTTGGGGATGAGCATGATCTTATGCGAGACATGATGAAAGAGTTCTATATTGTAAAGCATGTTCCATAGACACCACAGCAAAATCTGGATTCTTTGACACTTGGAAAATTTCTTCCCTTAAGAATATAAAATGTAACACCACAATCCTAGAGCTTTTCTGTCTTCACTAAAAGTGAGAGATGTTTCCAGTAGAATCTGAAGCAACTGATCTCGGTCACCACACCCACAAAGCAAGATCACTTGTAATTTAAGCCTCTTGAGTACTTTGCAAGTTGACTCTTACTGTTGCTGCCCTTCCCTGAAGAGAAAGCAGAATTAATTTTGTTTGACAGCAGCAAAATTTGAGAGGCATTCTTGAATGGAGTTGTCATGTCATCACTCAGTTTCCTTTCTAGGCATTGCACAGCACTGAGACTGCTTTCTTATACCTTGTCCTGTTAAATTAGGCACAGATTGAAGTGCAGTATGGTGAACCATAATAAACGTTCAGATTTGTAACAGATCTTTAAAGAAACACTAGTATCTAACTTGGAGGGGGGGGACACCTCTGTTTAGAACACAGTAACAGAAAATGTAACATGAGTCAAAAGTCAACACACCAGTTTGCTTTCCCACCATTTGTGATCCACATCTTCTGACCATTAATAACATATTCATCTCCTTTCTTCTCAGCCTTTGTTTTTATACCAGCCACATCAGAGCCTGCTCCAGGCTCTGTTACACAGTAAGCCTAGAAGAAAATAAAATGCAAAACAAAATCTTGAGGAATGAAAGTTCTGTTTTTAAGGAACCACAAATTATTGCAGAATTATGTGCACCAAACTGATCTGTAAAAGTTTTAAGTGAACTGCATGGAAAACCCCAAAATATTACATCAAAAAAACCCCAACAACTGTCTGAGCAAGAATCCAAACGTGTAGGGTTAACTTTCCTTATAAATCCATAATAATACTTAAAATTGTCTTTTACTTTAATGATAAACAGAACCATTCTGTAACTTTTACTAAGTCATCACTTCCTTATGCTTCACAATCTCAGATATGAAAGCTGAGGACCTTTAAAATCTGAAAGTAAGAGCAGAGAGTAACATTCTATGGTTACCGTGCTCTTCATTTTATGAGGCTTAGTTGTTCAGATTTTAACGCATTGCACATGCATCTTTACTTCTTTCTATGTAACAAGTAGATAATATTTAAGATTCATAAATGCAGTTTAATGCCCACCTGAGTTGAGTTCATGCTCATATAAACCTTGCATTTTTCTTAAACTCCTACACCTTCTCTTGAAGGTGAATTAAAAGGTATTCATTTTCAGTAAGTGACTTAGGATGGTTTTCCAGGTAATATCTTCTATTTACTTATTGAATGCATCTAATTCAATATTCCTTGACTTTCAGTAAATGCCACTGTTTATTTACAAACCAAAACAGGCTAAGTTGTGAGTAGATATCAGTGTTTTAAACAAACCAACCTGATTAATATGATTTAGGAACAGTCTACAGCGTTCCTAAGTTATACTTACACACATCATTGGTTCCTCTGTCATTCTTCCTAAGTATTTTTTCTGCTGATGCTCATTTCCTGCAATGATTACTGGCATTTGCTGAAAGAAAACATTTAGATGATTAATCCATCTTTTTAAAGGGCACAGACTCTAGTTTAAAGGAGGTAAGAAAAGACAGAACTTACCCCTAGGGAGTTTGCCTCAATGGCAGTTTGAACCCCTGTACATCCGTAAGCTAACTCTTCCGTAATAAGGCATGCTTCAAAACTGCCAAGGCCAAGACCACCTAAATTTGAAATATTTGACTAAAATGAGTTTAAATTGAAACATACTAGTGATTTACAAAAATTAATTATCAAAAACGTATTCCCCACGTACATTTGATTGTGCACTGTGTTTCATTAGACATTTCCATGCAAGGTTTTTAACTAAAGTTTTGTCAGATTAGTAACAGATGACTTAAAAATGACACCTTGCAGTTCCAGGGTGTTGTGTGCTTGAGGTGGGACAAGCTGCACAAAATGGCAAGAATGTACCACTAGAATCTTCCGACTACTTTACATCTGAGAATTTCTTAAGAGTTCTTAGGAAGCAGAGAAAGGGCCACAAGGGCTCCTGAGCTACCACAGCACTTAGGAATGAAAAAAAACCATATCAGTCAGAAAACCAACCTAGTAACCTGTTTCTGACAGAAGCCAACACTTTGGGAAGTGCATAAAAATACAGTAACAATATACTATATATATACACAGTAACTAAAATACAGCAATACTCCCTCAAAATATTTTCCCCAGCCTTCAGGTGACTTCCTCAGCCAAACGTATCTTTGGTATCTTTGTTAGCTAGTCCTTGACAGACATTTCTTCTCTGAATTTACCCAGTCTCTTTTTGAACCTATGTACAATTTTAGCATCAATATCATCCAGAGGCAATGAGTTTCACAAATTAACTACACACTGAGTGTAGAACCATCTCCTTTCATTTATTCTGAACCTGCTGTCTGCTGACTTCATTTGATGCCTTCTAGTTGTGCTGAAGGGGACAATGAGCTATCAATCCCTTTTCACATGCTCCGTGACACTGGCATTTTAGGCATTTCTCATACAGAAGCTGTTCTGTATCTTTTATCATCTTTGTCATCTTTTTAGGAACCTCCTCCTTCTGAGGTGGAAGGATCAGACTGCATAATGAATTAAAGAGGCAAGTGCCTCTTTGGATTTGAGAAGCAGCATAATTATGGCTTCTGCTTTTTTCTTCATTCCCTTCTTAATTTCTGACCTTAAATTTATGGTTTTGACCACTTGTGGGCATTATGCTGACATCTTCACAAAACTATATATTATAACCCCCAAAATCTCTTTTTTTTCCAGAGGTAGTAACTTGTTCAGATGACACCATTTTATCTGGGAAGTTTAGATTGCTTCTTTCCTTTCTTGTGTGCATCATTTTTCCTATTTTGAATGTCATCTGCCATTTTAACAGTCACCCAGTTTCACGACCTTCTCCTACAGCTCTTCGCACCAGCTTCATCTTTTCTATACTGAATAACTTAGTATTATCAGTAAACTCTATGAACTCACTATTGACCTCCTTTTCCAGATTATTTATAGGTATCCCAAATAGCGCAAGTGCCAGCAAGACTGCACTGCTGATTTTTCCACTATGAAACCTGATGATTTTTCAGATTCATTTTGGAAGTTCGAGCATTTTATACCAACCAGGCATCCCTTGTTCACACACTTATTAGCTACTTCAGAGAACTCCAGTTATTTTTTGTGCCATGACTTCCTTTTACAAAAACCCTTCTCTAGCATATCATGTTTATGTGTGTCCACTCTATCTCTGCTTCATCTTCCTTGCTCTTAATTTACATGGTATATCAGGCTTACTGGTATGTATTTTCCCAGCTCTCCCTTGGAGACTTTGTAAAGGAATGGTGTCCAATTTGTCACTTGTAAGTTTTAATTTAATAACCAAGTGATTACACATTGCAATAGTCCAGCTATTTCTGAGTTTCCCTAGAATTTGTGACTGACTAAATGTTATCCTCACAATTGCTCCTTTTGCCTCTTTGTTCCTTAACCTTGTTAATTACATTTTTGATACAAGATACACCCTCTCATGAGTCTTCAAAAAAAGTAGGGTCTGCTGTGGACACTTCCCCAACTTCTTTTTCAGGTAATATAAATGCAAAAAAGAAAATCTAAAATTTAACAATTTTGCCATGGTTAGTCATATACCTAAGCACTGCCAAAGCACTGCTGTACTGCACATCATCTAAACTGGAAGACCGTCCTTCTGGAATAAACTCTTAAATTGCTCCAGCCTGTGTCAGAGACTAGATCAAAATATGCCTATTCTAATTTCTCTGCCTCATCAGCTGACACGGTGTACCAGGGTAACATTAGGCAGTTGTAATCATGGTAGAAAATCTGGTCATAAATTACTAAATCGTGATCTGTCCAATCTGTTGCCTGATTGCATCCACCCCTAGTAACACTTGTATGTGTCAACCTGCCTACTGATTAAATTTAGAGTATTCAAGTATGCAACTGTTCATTTTATACAGAATCCATAATTACACATATAAATCTCCTCTAAGTCCTTTTCTTTGTTTTATTTTACAGATTAAAAAGAATGTTTACTTACCACAGCTTTCTGGTATGTGTGAATTTATAAGACCAAGTTCCCAAGCTCGTTTTATGAGCGGAAGAGGATACTGAAATAAACAGGGAAAATCACCTTCTGATTCATCACAGTTAACATTTTTAATTTTATGCAGGTTAAGATAAAAATCTGTTTTTTCCCCTACTGCACGGTAATTTACCTCTCCACTTTTGTCATATTGTGCAGCAACAGGAATAATTTCCTCCACGGCAAACTTACGAGCAGTAGCTTGAAACTCTTTCTGTTCATCAGTAAGTTCTATTAAAAAAAGAAAGTAAAAAATAAAGTCGCAGCTCTCTTTAATTTTGCCAGTTGTCAGACTATGAGAAAAGAAAAAACAAGTCTCAGTTCCTTCCAGGACAATTCAAACCGCCAGCACCTACCTTAGCACCTACCCCTGAGCCTCTCCAGAAACCAAAGAAGCTCAACTCCCTCTTTCTCTCTAGAGAAAACCTCCACTGATCTCTAATGAATGCCCACAATGCACAAAATTATCCGTAAAATATTGAAAATAGAGTAGGAAGTACATGTAACATAAAATGCATTACCAAAAGAAACAAGAAGCATGCTGTGCTAATTAAATGAAGGAGGAGATGGAGGCAGATAAATGTTCCTTATTTGACAATTCTGGCTACTCAGTTTCAAACATCTAGCTGCTGACCCACTAAATTTGCTTATATACTTATATACCCACTAAATTTGCTTATATGCTTTACGTATATAATATGCCAAGATGAGGATTAATTTCTTTATAACATTCCTTCATAACCAAGTTCGACTAAGACTACATACAGTTATTTTAACATTTTAAAAGCCAGTGTGAGATAATTATTCAAAGCTAGGGCAACTTTGGCAATAAAAAAGCTCAAGACAGACATTAGTCAAAAAAAAGAAGAAAATCTCATAAATATCACACACATACCTGGCTTTCCTAGCTGGAGAAGAAAGTAATTTTGGTTTTTGAATACTTTTTAAAAAAAGAATAGAAATCTACTAAGAATAAATACCTTCATTGTAAATTCATACTGAAATGCAATACAGTTGTTCTGTTTTTTTTCCCTAACTCTGCAATTTGTCCTTAACTGTTTTATTTCTTTCAAAAACTGCAATACTTACCAAAGCTAAAGCCAGCTCCAGGTTTGCTTATATGTATGTTTTGAGCAGGTTTACTAGAATGTGATCTCCATCCATGCCCTGCAATGGTTCGGAGCATCTGCAAAAGAAAAAAAGAACATGAGGTGTAAGATCTTTGCAGCTCAAGTCTCATAAAGCTACTGGCCTGACTGCAGCACAAGTGCACAACAAAGCATGAAGAACACAGGCAAGAATAGGTATCAACACAGTAAAAAAAATATTTTCAGGGAATACTGAAAACATCTATGAAGTTAAAAGGTGAAGAAATGCAGGAAGACCACTGCTAGGCATAGAAGTGCTGAATACTGAAGTGTTAAGTGAGTGTATTAATAGTTCAGATTGTATTTTCCAGTAGGCAATATATTGCTTATTTGGAGTTTTCACAAGTCACAGCCATTGCAAAATGGTGTATTGAGTTCTTATGTAAGTTTTACCTTCTTCCCTACCTGCTACCACCATTATATAGATAAACAAAACAATCAAACAATACCAACAAACATCTAGAAAGACCTCGATCCTCCCAAATGTTTTATACTTTATTTTATCTGGAAACAGACAAGAAGAAGATGAGGTTGAAAAAAAGCCAGGTAATTGTAATCACTTTTTTTTTATTTTAAGGATGATCAGTTGTATATAGCTTTGCCACCAAAAAGTTTTGTCTAAACTAGAAAAAGTCCTGAGTTCAAAATAATGCTAAAGATGATACCCTAGATGAAAGAAGCTGTCAAATTTATGCTAGAGAACTTAAGCCGATCATGGCTTTCATATACCAGAGTGGTATGCAAGGTCAACACTGAAGTTTACTCTGAAAAAATCCTACACTCCCCCCAACAAATGGAAATATGAATTGGACAGGGGGGGTTCATACCTGGAGGTGACACAAAGGAGTGACAAAGGACCGTGGTTCACAACATGTAAGGATTTGGGCGACCACCTGCCTGCTCTGTCAACCTCCCAATTGTCTGAGTCGGTGGCTCCAGTGACAAGTCACCGGTAGCCATGCTCAAACCCAACTCCTCACGCACCTCCCTTGGAGGATTACACCAGCTCTGCCACCTTTGGAAATGCCGCCACGACAGTGGCGCAATTGTTGGTGGGGCTGAACTCCAACCACCTGTGCCCAAAGCGTCACTTCTGATCTGTGAGGGACTGGCTGCCGTCAGGTGGAGCCGCCTCCTCTGCCTGCTGCTGTCACAGCGACGCTTTGGGCAGGTGGCCGCATCCCGACGGGGGACATTGCTGCTGCCTGAGGGACATGGCTGCCAGGCCACCCTGACCTAGCACCCTTCACCTTTCCCCTAATTCAGGAGCGACTCTGGAAACAGGGAGAGCAGGAAAAGGGCCGGTGTAAACACGGTAGTGCCTGAGCTGTGAACCCTTCGTACTGTCTAGTGGGAAGTTGGGAGATTATCAGTGGTTCGATAACTTCTTCTTATAGAAAGAATATTCTTAATTCCTAACAGCAGGGTTAGTACTTCAGAAAACAACTTTTATAGACCACGTATTTAAAAATGCCACCGGCAGCGCAGCCAGGTATGCATCAGGAAAGGCAACAACGAGGCCGTGAGGGGAAGCAGGGCGCCGGGGGGGG